TCGCACGTTTTTCCATCTTCGGATACGTGTACCTACGTAGGAACGAACTACGAGATAGGAATTTTTCCTTTCGAAATCGCACAGAGTTATGTGTGTTTATATAAAAAGAGTAAAGAACGAAAGAATTTATCTACGGGCATAGAAAGAAACGGAAAAGAATTTGTGTGTCCCAGATTAGAAAATACTTTTAGCGCGGAATCATCATCATAAGAAATTTTACAGGACACCAATGAAATAACCCTAACCCTTTACTTGATAACTCTTCCACCATGCTGGAAGGCATGTACGTAATAATATATACACATGTACACACGCACACATAATAAGAATACAGAGTGCAATACAGACAAATCGAAATTAATAAGAGCAACTTCTTATTCTCGCTCGAGGATCATTCCAAGTTGGAACTATGAATCTTCTCTTTTGCACATCCTCTTCTTCTTCTTCTTCTTCTTCATCCTCCTTCTCCTCCTCCTCCTCCTCCTTCCTTACAAAACGCTATACTCTACACCTCAGACACACGCTGTTATTGCATTTCATTTTACTTATGTACTCTTCAAAGTAAGAATCATTTAGCATCGCGTTACAAAAAAAGAAACAACAACGACAGCACCCTAAAAAAAGAAAAAAAAAAAAAAGAGAGCTTGCTGTATCAAGAAGACAATGCGGTTTAAATTTGAAATCTAATAAAAAGTAGAAGATGAGCTGGCAAAAATCATTCGACCAGGATGGAAACTAATTCGTGATCGTGCCTGGTGGTGTTAAACGAAATAGAACGAAAAACAAAAAGAAGGAAACAAAAAATTACAGAGTGTGTGAGAGCAAGAAAGAGAGAGAGAGAGAGAAGGATAAAAGCTTAAAAAGCGCAGCGTGGCGATGGCGGACGGAACGATCTAACTCGGCTTAACTACATAACTACATCTTTCTTTTACGTTCAACCCAAGTAGGGCCCGCGGCCACTTACCTTCTTCACCCTTTGCCAGCTTCGCCCTCTGTTCCTTCCTTTTTCTCTCTCTCTCTCTCTCTCTCTCTCTTTCTCTTTCTCTCTCTCTCTCTCTCTCTCTCTCTCTCTTGTTCTCTCTCGTTCTCTTTCTTTCTTTCCTCATCCGTACAACTTTGTCTTCTCCTGTTTTCTCCCTCTTCTCTCCTTTCTCATCAACCATCTTCCCTTCCCCACCCCTCCGCCCCCACCCTTCATACGTCCGCGCTATATCTTTCTCTCCCTCTTCCTTCTTTCACCTTCCATGATCATTCTCAGTCTCTCTCGTTCGTTCTTTCTTTCTTTCTTTCTTTCTTTCTTTCTTTCTCTTTCTTCCTTGCTTGCTTTCTCTCTCTCTCTCTTGCTCGTTCAAACTGTCTTCCTTCCTCGTTCGTTGCACCGCCTTTCTGCGTTACGGTACGATCCAGCGGAGTCGTCGGCACGGAAAAAAGGCGGCCCTAAAAGAACTTCATATTTTTTATGCCCTGACAGCGACTTGGGTGGTCCAAAATGGCCGCTCAATGATGTAATATAGTGCTCTCGCTACGAACCATCTCTCTCTCTCTCTCTCTCTCTCTCTCTCTCTCTCTCTCTCTCTCGCTTTCTTTCTTTCTTTCTTTCTTTCTTTCTTTCTCGCGTCTTTCGAAGAGAAGATACTCAGAGTGAACGAGTTTTAAAAATGTGCAAACTTTCTTCTTTTTCCTTTTCTCTTCTCGCTCGACCACCCCCTCCCTCCCCCTCCCACTTTCCACGCTTCCTGAAAACGCATGAACTTTTGACTGATTTTTTAATACTTTTTTTGGTGTTCATGATTTAGGTCGAAATTGGCGAAATTAGCGAAAATAGCGGACTAGGAATGTGTACGTATATGGTTAGGTTAAGAGAGAAAGATGCTTTTGTGGACCAAGATCGAACATGTTGCCTTCCGGCGACGGACGATAATTGTCGGCCGCGCGTGGATGCTTTAATAGTATAGGTGTACCAAGGCGCGAACTCTTGTGTAACATCAATAACGACGGAGAACGTGTTAATATCGTATCGAGATAGTTAAGTTTCAAGTTACTTAGAGAACAGTTTTTTACAATAATTCCAATAACGACAACAAAAATCATACGAGTTTGAAAATAAATTCGCTGTAATTTAATTGAATGTAAATTAAAAAAAGAAAAAGTATTCTATTATCAAAGATTAAAAATACGAATCATTTTAATTGGACTATTAGTAGGCATTCTTTTCTTTTCCTCTTTTTTAAATGAAAATTAAATCATATTAACGTGTTGATCAATCATGATTATTCATATCTACTCTCTGTTTACAGATATACACACAAGCTGCTTATATTAATAATTATTAAAATATAAAATGCATATTATAAAGCATGAAATACGGAATTATTTTTTATACGAAATAGTTGGTCAACAATATGTTAAAATATTTGAATAATTTCTATGTGTGTCTTTTGGTATATTTTTAAAAGCAAATATAATTATCTCGATATTTTCAATTCTAACTTTTCCAGAGCCTTGTGAAATTTAAATGAACGCTTCCGAAATGATTTCCAAGAGAAATAAGCCGTATCCGATCAGTAGGAATCGTATTGAAGTCGGCTCAACACTACCATTTGCGGTACTTCACCAATTCCACGCCCATCCGAAAGTTTTACGAGCCTTAGGAGCTAAGCCCTTGGTTCGCCGAGCTATGTTTATCCGCACCGGGAAATCTCGGTTCAGTTTGTTGCGCTACGGTACGCTACGGAAACCGCAATATTCTTTCCATCTCCTCCTTCTTCTTTCCTTCACCAACCCGAAGCCCCAAACCCTTAGAAAGATCGTAACCATTGCGTCAAAGGGGCCACCACCACAGGGACGAATTAGGATGAAACGTTGAAATGGGCAGAAAGCGGAAAGACGACGGCCTATACCTTTCTCGAAAATGGCGCTAAAATCATCCCACGAACGATATTATTCGGTTTAGGTTGAAAACGAATTTTATGACCAACCATAATATCTTAAGGAAGAGAAAAAAAAAAGACGACAAATTTCGATTTCCGGTAGAGACGAGATAAAGGGAAACCAATTTCAAATATGGCGCCAGATAGAGGTGCTTTAAAATCGCAGAATATATGAGTAATTTGTAATAATAATTTAATAATGATTTATATAATAATAACATCTATAAGAAAAATACTTTAAAAAAGTAAAATAAAGTATAACGTAGCAAGGAAAGAAAATAAAGGAAAGGAAAAAAAAAAGGAAAAGAAAGATGAAGAAGTGCAGAAGCGTTTAGCGCTGGAAGCATTGGTCGACGCCATTACTCACACCGTTTGCGCCTGCCACATGGCTCGATGGGTCCAATCTTATCCGTGCCTCCTCCTCCTCCTCCTCCTTCTCCTCGTGCTCTTCTTCTTCCTCTTCCTCTTCCTCTTCCTTCTTCTCTTCTTCTATCTTGCTTTTCTTGTTTCATCCTTCGTACGATCTTGTTCCTTCCTCTTCTCTTTATAGAAGACACTGAGCTTCTCTGAAGTGCAAAGTCTGACAGCTGTATCGCATCGACATTCTGAAATTCTCGCCTCCTTCAGCTACTTCTTTCTGTTAACGAAGTAGGGAACAACAATATCTAGATGGTCTCTCTTTGTAGATATCCGACATTATGAAGACGTTACCGGTAACGATAGCGCGTCAATGACGACGACAACGACGAGGACATACGAAACATTCTTCAAGCAATACGACACATTATCTGATGTCTCGACATACGTCTTCGACTTGACAGTCGATCGTTAAGAGAAACCAGAATCAGAACTCCTAAGGAAGAAACCCTTCCTTCGTAAATTCTTATTCCTTAACCTTTTTTAAATGTCTTACTTCACGTGTCCTTCCCAATTCACCAACCCAACTTTCAACTGACCTACAAAATTGGGCGGCCATTTTTTTTTCCTCGCCGAAATCAAAGAAATTTCTTCCGCTAATTTCGATAATTATTTTCAAAATATAGGATTTTTCTAAATAGAATATAAATCACAAACACATAAATACCTCTGAACGAATACTTTGTTTACGATCAGACATTATTTTTCCATCAGAACAAAAGAAAGAAAGAAAGAAAAAGCATTACGAGAATTTTATTTCTTTTCCCGCGACCAATGTTTCTGCTGCTTCTTCATTACGTGACAATATTACCAACCTTTTCTTGCGAACAATAAACGTGGATTCGGATAAGTCCAACCAGATGTCACCGAGGAAGCGTCATATACGCGACCGCAATTTCAAATATTAGCACGAATCTCACGGCGAATAAAGCGAATGGGAACAAGGGAATCCCTCCCCCGCCACGCTGGTTCGTAATATCGCGCTTCTTCTTTTTCTTTCTTTCTTTTTTTCCTTCTTTCTTCCCCCTCGGAGCTTTTCCGCAGACAACACGTGCGCGAAACGACTTAAATAAAACTTTCACCGTGCTTCGACAGCATCCGAACAAAAGTCGTTTTCCAAAATCGTTAATATCGATAAGTACGTGTATGTACATGTATTTTCTATATAATTTATGATTCCTATTGTTTCAAAGTGAATAAATAAATTTATCTTCTTCGATTGAGATAATACAAATTTTATTATTCCAAGAAATATTAGGAACATTGTTTATACAAAATATTGTCTAATTTCAACAATAATTTACTGTAACAATAGGTATATATAATCTGATATAAAAATAACATACAATAATAAAAAAATTATTAAACAACATCACTTCAATATTTAGCGAATACTGCTGACATCTACCAGGTGTACTATGAATTCAACCACTAGCTTCTAACTCGTCGAAACAAATGGTCGGTCGATAATACAGATCACAAGATTATCATTTAATAATAAATTCAGAAAATTATATTATCAACTCAATTTTATTTCATTATGAACGTAACTACATTTCAATATAATACAAAAATAAAATATATATATATAAACAAAGTTTGTAAAAAAAATTATTGGTTCATATAAAAAAAGTGAATAAAACTAATGACATATACCATGTCCTTAATGTATTTATTTGTTAATTCCGTATGAATTATGTACATACACGTAAATTTAGATTCCCGAAAAAGATCGCCTGGCCTATATATTTTTATGAGATTTCGTCTTACGGAATTATGTGAATTCTTGCAATGCAATGATAGAAAGAAAGAAATAATGAGTTTTTTTTATGATGCATAGATGATTCAACAGTGACTTCAAAATGCAGGCTTCGTCATACCATAGCATAACCATTTCTAAAAAGCTTCATCACATTGTCAATTCCTAAAACAAACATTACATTATTGTTAATATTGTATCCTAATTTACATAAAATTAAATTACAATTACAAGTGTGTATTTTCAGTCTGCCAAGATTAACAACAATATATTTTCAGATAATTATTAACTTTATCACGAAACCTTTTTAATATTAATCATCATAATATGAAAATATTATAAAATAATTATAGAAAATAATAATCCAAATAAATCTTACTTACCATAATAGCATTGACAATGTCATTTTTATTATTTCTAAGAGCTTTAATAGCTTTGCCTTTAGATACGTTAGCCTGGCACATTACCAAATCCACATCTTTCTCTTCCACATCCGTGTCATCCACTTCTTCTTCCGATTCTTCTTGTATTGGAGCGACAACCTTAAATAACATAGAAAAAATATAAGATTTGCTATCAATGTATTATGTCGATTAGAATATGTGCAATTTCTTTACCGTTGTGCTGCCACCAGCTTCTGTTGCAGGAATCACAGGTGGTTCTTTAAATTTCTCAGCAGCTGCAACTTGAGCTTGTTGACTTAAGTCTTCAATCTATAAATATATATAAAAAAAATCCGAAATTAATATATTTTAATAAATGAGCATAGTATGTGTATAACAATAATAAAAAATGAAAAATCATCTATTATATATCAGTCTGCCAAGGTATTTATCTACACGATATATTCAGTCGATAAATTGCAAAACCATACAGTGTCATCATATATATTCCAATCATTAACATTTGACTGCCATACTAAAATCACATGTTTCGCTTAAGGCGCCATGTACTTTTTTATTAAAAATTTCATAGAAATTAATCTTTCATTTCGATGTTCCAATAAAAATTTGTAATTGTTCAATAGGGAATTTTATATTTCAAAGTATATTCTAATTAGCAATAATTTTTAGAATGCACTAAATGTAAATTTTCATTCAACTTTTACAATTATAAGTACTTCAAATGCTCCGGTCACCAATAACCACCGTGGTGTCACTGGAGAAACTGTGGCCGGTCATACATAACCAACGTGACAGTCAAAGTGTTAAGCAAAAATGTTTTCTTATTAAATTAAATGTACAGGAATAAGAACATACCTTAGCTTCTCCAAATACAATATAAATATCTGAAGCTGGATTTTTCAAAACGTCCGGCTTATTAATGACAAACAATATGTTCTTCGACTTCCTAATGGTTACCCTATTGACACCTTGTACCTAAATTGAAAAACACGAAATAAGAAACTATAATATCTAAAATGAGTAATAGTTTTAAATAATAAATATCATTTTATAAGAATAGGTAACAAAACGTACCGGCTTCAATCCTAACTTGCTCATTAATTTTCTAGCTTTCTTCTCTCCACGGCTCTGTTTAGCTTTAGAGACCATGTCAAGAGGAAGTCCAGCAATTGCTGCTGCTGGATAACTAGCAGCACCACCGACACTGGCATCTTCTAATTCTGGAATGGTATCATCCGAATCTGAATCAGTGCCAGACCCAACTCCTACTCTTGCAGCCTCAATTTTTGTGGGCTCAGAACTGGCAGCTTTATCTAGTTCGGTTAATTCCGGCATTTTTCTTTACCTCTGACAAAAATTCAATAAATAAGTTTTTCATTATTATAACAATGTAATATAAACATAATGTAATATACAAAATAAAATTTAATCTTATATGAATAACATAAAACTGTGTAAATAACAAAATATTGTGTATCTAAAAAACAAAATTTCCAAATACAGAAATAAAATTCTACTGCAGTCAATGCTACAGTAAATCAATCAATCCCAAAAGAAGAAAAATGATGCACGTGTTTGGTATAAACGAAATTATAAAACATCATTAACTTCTATCAAATAAACTTAAAAACACTAAATGTTGATTATGCCTAAATCAAATGAACACATTACAATAACTTAAAAGTGAAATATAGAAATAAAAATAAAACGTCGAAGAAGAATACGAATGCGGAGTCGATGCGGCCATTTCTACAATTAAGCAGACATTGTTATGGCACCCTATTGAACTACTGTAAAAGCCCGCATACGTTAATACCTATCTATTGATCATAAGTTTATTTAACAAACTTAAAAAAATTTACGCCACGATAAACATTTCAATTTTTAAATATCCAACAAGTGTATTGTTCGTTAACAAAAATTGAAATTGTTAAATTGTAAATGCGAACAAAATCGTAGACAAGCATACCAAGAACAAGATTCCAAATACAATTGTGTATATTATTGATGATATGAATTGTAGTAGAATATTATTTACATATAAAAGTTATTTCAATTAATGTTACATCAATTTAAAACAATTTAACAATTTTTATTAGACGATGTCGATATTATCATTAGATTTACCTCGAACGATAATTCCTCGTCGATACCGCACTATTTTTACTATAGGATTCAAGCGTGTTTACAAGTGTGAAATTTTCTGACACTATTTTATAATTTTAAGAACGCAAATATTGGACTAGCGTGACATTAAGTCTTATACACAATGGACGACATTATTCATTATTTTACCATCACAAATTTTAAATATCCTTTTTCTTTCACTTTTTATTCATAATTTGTATCTAAAAATAATCTTTTAAATAAATCAATGATGTAAGTGTTCTAAAAATAAAGTTGTAAGCATTTTTCGACTATTAAAGAACGAGCCAATCACGTTGCTCATGAGTTGTATGAAAATAATTACACTGATATGCGTAATCACATTGAGTATAGATCAAAATTTTATTTTATTTATAACTAATCAAAAAAAATAATGAATAATGTATAGCTTAACACTATTTGATAATTATTTTATTTTAATCAAAATTATATTTTTTAACAATATCTTAATTATTTTTTATAATCATGTTAAATAATTATATTAAAATTGTAAAAAATAGTTTAAAATAAGCAGGAAAACGAATGCAATGATTTACATAAGCATTTGTTAACAAAAATAAATAAATAAAATCCAAATTGTTATTACAATTATTCGAATAATTTTTCTTCCTATGCGATAGCAAAAAGAAAAGAAAAATCTATGTACGAGGAGTTTTAAGAAATTGTATAAATTTCTGTTCGAAATATACTAGTAATAATAATAATAATAATAATTTTCTCTCTCTCTCTCTCTCTCTCACTCTTAAAAAGAAGATATAATAAAATATAATAAAAGATTTATAAATAAACGATGAAAAAGTATATATTTCAACAGAAAAAAGAAATAGATATTGTAGATTATTCTTAAGAGACAATACAAATATAATTTTTCTTTTCTTATAAAAATATTCATGTAAAATTTTATTTAACTTTTAAAATTTGTATATGTATAGCATATATAACTTATAATAATTAAATATACATATACACTTTTGTATTACAAATATATCCGTTTTTGTTTTTGTTTTCTGTCTCTGGAGATTGCATTTGATACAATTTAAATCCAAAACAACGAGAATGTCTACTATATTATGCGTATAATAAATTGATAAATTTTGTTTTTCTTTTATATATATTATAATAATAATAATAATAATAATAGTAATAATAATATACGTTGAAGAAACAAACGCGCATCTCGGCAGATATTTTCTTTGATCATCATTTTTTTTAATACATTTAATTCTTCACAAGATAACACTTAAGCTTTTATATATATATATATATATCTGGCAAAATTTATAATATTCT